AAAATGTAGCATCTTAATCCTATAGCAGTTGGTAATCGGAAAGTATTACATTGTCAAAACAATGAAATTTCAACACCAACAAAATAAAAAAAGGGAAAAGCCACGGAGGATGATACGTTGTACATTCTAAAATTATTTAAAATTCATCAAGAAGTTGAAAAAAATTACGTATTTGAATAAAAACGAGAACAGTCAGTTTCAACATCGTTTTACAAAGAGCGGGAAAAACCGCATCAGAAAGAGCTCGTGTTTTATATAATGTAAAAATGTGATGCATAACTTTGATGTTAACTAACCCACCTGGTTTTGTTGAAATGTTTATACAAGATTGAAATGATATTACAGGATAGACTGCTACAGTAATTTAATCAGTATATTTCTATTACATATTATCCAAAAATACTTATGAACAAACTTAAAAACTGTGCATTTTCGGTATAGAAAAATTTTTGATATTTGCTTGATTTATCTCAGTAAGAAAGATCAAAATTAAAATCCTTTCAAATGCTATGGTTTTTGAGTAAAAAATTGTGGAATTTGCAGGGATGTCAATTTTATAGAGTATAAAAATAATAATAAGCATAGAATAGGAAAATGATATTTTTCAACGACCTTACAAAATGAATTTGTTCTTTAAAATATCAAGTTGCGTGGTAGTGAGGTAAGTTTGAGAAAGCAGACGGAGCATCGGTGACCGCGCTACTTTTTACTTCAGATTTGCATACTCGAATTTTCAAATAGCGAGAAATAAGTATTTTTTCCGGTGTGCCTCATGATTTTAGTTTAATTTAGGCTCTTTAAGGTTAATCCCTTGCGAAAACCTACGAAATGAAATATGTTTCATTCAATAGATTTTGATCCAACGGCGTTCTTGTTTATACCCCAAGTGGAGCAAAATCTCGAGATATTTCAGCTCAAAGTTGAACTGTTTAAGACGAGCTCAAATGTTAGAGCATCAAAATATTAGCTTTACAGGCATTTCCCAACTCACAGTAAAAAACTTGAACAGACAAATTATGGTATACTTGTAGAAGAATCTCTGTTCTTCTTAATACTGTCATGTAAAATGTTGGTAATGGGGCATTTTTCAAAGATATTTGCCAAGAAAGATGTAAAAATCAGCTTCATGGTTATAAATGACAGACGGTAGCAGAATACCAACACTGATGTATACGTATACATATACAAGTGAAACTCTCCTACTTGGCTAGAGCAGTAGAGAAGGGAGCTACTTTAATCCTATATCACAGCTTAACCGATAAGTATAGGCCAGAAAGTCATTGAATCAACCAGAACGAGATCTATGTTTCTGAAAATACTCAAATTTATTTTCCAAACGGCTTCTGACTCAGCCTTTACAAAATATGGTCTTTTCGTTAAGTTAAAACACTTGCTTCTCGCTGGGAGAACTAACTTGCGAGTAACTGTGTGATATTTTTTAAAAGACTTAATCACTAGGATATCATTCAAGTGGACAACTGGTATAATGCTTCTATCCTGGCATGCAGATAATAGTAAAGAACAACGATGCACAGATAACAACGGAGGTGATGGATGAGTCTTTCCTGGTAAATGCGACCTGCAAATAGTTAGTAATAAAAATAACGAAATGTATGTGGCAAAACAAAGTCGTATGTAAACGTATGTATTCACAGCAGCCATTGAACAAAGACAGACACGACGTGGCGTTGCTAGGGTAGGATACTTACACGGCGATACATTTTATATAGCATGAAAATTTAAATATCTAGAATACATCAATATGCTATTATCCTGACCTTAAATTTCGTGCGCCTTAAACGTGAACAAGCTTATTTCAGTATCAAATTTAAGATACGTAATTAATTAATTAATTGTCAGCAAAAAATAGTATGATTTTTTTAGTAACAGTGCTAAGTTATTACTTGTACCATTTCTACGGTCTTCGTAGTTGGTAAACTCGAAGTATCTGTGGAAAGAGTTCATTTTTATGATAAATATAAATAATGGATGATGAATAATGGATAACTCAAAGAAAATTAAAATTTTCTATATTAACAGTTAAATCGTTCTTATTACCTAATTAATAAAATAAATTTATTAAACAAATAACTATTTTATCGGGAAATAATTTCTGTCGCTTAACTTAACCGTTTTTCATAATTGCACAAGCCCACAATTGGCAAAACAATTTGGAACTCAAGGAGAAAAATAAGATGGCAAATGATTGATATATAATCTTATTTTTTATTTTTACATTAATCATAAATTTTTTAGAAGTAGTAAAATAAAGAATTGCTTAATAAGGGCGACTGTTTAAGAAACTTTTAGATTGCGTTTACGGTTTTCGTCCGTACTTGCAACATAAATGTTTATTTATTATGAGAATTACTTAGTTATTAAATAACTATCGGTTGGAATGTTTGGATTTTATCAATATATAAAAAAGACAATGGTAAAATCTGGTTGAATGAATTACATATTTGGATTTTTTGGACGCGTTTAGTTAAGAAGTATTTTATTTAAAATTTTGTTGGCAAAGGTAATTTAATTTATTTAACTAGCTTAAAGTAGTGATTGCTGAAAATCATACGAACTTTTTTTTTTAAGAAAATTTATTCCGTTAGATACAACTATGAACTATTTGTACTAATTAATCTCTGCAAACATTTATATATTATAAATATCTTGGAAGGTGCAACTTTTAGTAGAAATTAAGTGGGATTACTGTAGATTTCAAATAAATATTTAAAAAATGGTATTTTCCTGAAAAATTACATTTCCATAAAAACACCTTTGAATACAAGTATATAGTTACGTAAATTTAATTGTGTTAATTTAATATTTAGTTAAGAATTTCTGAAGTTTCTATACGTTGGAAATAGATAGTATTCTTCCTAATGAATTGTAACGTACGATAGTATAGGTGAGACTCCACGCTCCCTCTCCTCAAACCTCATAAAGAGGGGCCCTAGGGCCAAGGGAAGGGAAGAGCGAGCAAGGAGAGAGTCTATCAAGGGAGTACACGACGAGCCTTTGAAGGGAACACACGCGCTATCTTGCCTATGATTACGGTATCTTGAATAAAGGTCCTTGAAGTAATAAGTGTTGATCATTCTCGCGAAGCACCTCCTTACCAATATCTTTCCTACGTAACAGAATCTTGAGCCATGCAAATTTCTGAAAAAAAAATATACAATATAAACAGTCAAGTTTTTTTTGGCTCAACATACTTTATGTATGACACTTGTAGTATCATACTGTCTAGTACTCATACTTTAACTAAATAAAACTATAAATTAAACTAAGTAATATTGACTTTTGACTGGTATTATACATAAACCTGACATTAACACTGCCGTCTAACGGAAAAAAAGGTATAAGTGACATGAGAGACAAACTAAGAAAATCAAGGAAAACTAAGTGTCTCAAAAAATCAATGATAATTTGAGTATTAGACCGTGGAAAAACTGTTTTTTATATAAATATGATATAATTATTCAATTTTTCGCAAAAGAAAAACGATTTTTCGATGGGAATTATGAAAAACTGTACGTACCCTTCTAACTCGGCGCAATTTCCTCGTAAAAAAAGAGTAAGTGCAAAAATACAGCTTATTCCATGGGGCTTACCCTTTTTCTACTGTGGAATCGAAGGCAGTGCTCATCGACTTTACAACGCAAAAAAGCGGTAAGTGCACGTACGATGTCTGCCTGGCGCGATTTCCACATTTTGTGTCACTTACCCTTTTTTTTTGATCGCTGACGAAAGTTATTAGCAATTTTTCCAATTTTTGTTAAATTATCACTAAATCACGTTATAAGATATTTAATTTGTAGATATGCTATTAGACGCAGAATTTTCTGACAAATCGATTGGTGTAAATAACTCATTTTGGACAAAAATATCACTTATACCTTTTTTTCCGTTGGACAGCAGAACAGGATTAAAATAATGTATGATGCCCTAACATTTTTATATACTTACGCCGTAGCAAGGTTATAGTGTATTTGACGTGTGGTTTGCATAAAGTACCAGTCAAAAGTCAATATTACTTAGTTTGATTTTGTTAAAGTGTGAGTACTAAACAGCGTTATACTACGAGTGTCATACACAAAGAATGCTGAGCTAAAAAAAAACTTGACCGTTTTCATACTTTGATTTCAGAACTTTACAAAGCTAAAGATTAATTAGGAAAAATACTAACTGTTGCCAGTGTATGAAGGCTTCAGAATTTCTTTAGAAAATATTAACTCAACCCATCAATCTTACCTAACCTTTTAGTCGTGTTAAAAAGTATTTTTATGGGGATGTTAGTTACAATAAAAATATGTAAGTTTAGCAGGAATTACCGACATAATCGTGTAAGCCCTGTAAAATGACATACAATTAAAAGTTTGTAACTGAAATCAGCACTTTCGTATCAGTCTAAAGTAAATACACCTACTCTTAAAGTATATATAACGTACTAAACCTATACCACTGCATAGTTGTAAGAAGTGCAATTTTAGTTTTGAAAAATTCGCATATTCTATTCTCAAAAAGTGTGGAATTTACAAAAAGTTTGTAAGATACCTACTTTGTTTAAAATTAGCCTAACAAACTAATCCCTTTTTAAAAAAAAATACTTATTTTGTAACAATAGGCATCCTACTTTTATGGCAACTCTGCATCAGAAATCGTGTTTAGCAGATAAGAACGCATAAAAAAACTTGGGTTCTTCAGTTAATAGGCGAGCACGCAAAGTACTAAGCCATCAAAGCTCATGTATTGTAAGCAATTAAAGTTCGTGACTTCAATCTAGTATAAGATGAGAAGTTTATCGAAAATTCACTGTACTGCTCTGTTAATTCACTATCCAAAAACATAATTAATGTAGATCTATAATATTTCCACGGATACATCTTTGTAATTTTGCTCTAAAAAGTTATACCTATAATAACCACATATTACTTTAACTCTTCTATGTTCTCCAACATAAAATATTAAATTTATTATTTATAATCTACTACCTTACACTCCTATTGATGATGATAAAGAGCAACCATTAACTCCAAAGTCAGTAGAGCTAGGGAAATCAGCATACTAAACAGCAAAAAAACTATTGCTGGAATAACTTCTTTTATTTTAACACTGTCAGATGTGAGAATGTCTGATCGACACGATGGTTTTGTCGTTGACCATTGTTGAAGTAACCGATCTCTGACGCCAACTTCTGTTAGTCTCGCAAATCTAGATATAATAAAATGAAAATATGTCATCTCATGAAAATTGTCATTTAAATAAAATTTATTTAATTAAGAAAAAAAGTACAATTGAATCTAACGGAATTAAATGAGAATTTATTGGTTCGTGGTCAAAGATATGATTGTATTATGCAATGAAATGTACAAATTTTTAAGATTTAAGTACCCCTTGCTGTATATGATAAAGAATAAAAATATTGTAAGTTATAAGTTCTATCTTGTTGATTAGAATAGATGGTTTAATTTAATTTCAGAACCAATGATAATTTTACGATAGCAAGAATCTCAAAGATCTGAAAACAAACAAATCTTTTACGAAACGAAAATTCAAAATTATTGTCAACTGCTTCAAGTATAATGAATGAATACTAAGTGAAATTTTTAGTAACCAAATAAGTGATTAATTAGTAAATAAATTGTGCAAGATTAAAACTTGCAGAGTAAAATACGGTAATATCTTGTAACTGCAACATAGCCAAGTTAAATATGATTTAATATTATTTTTCATTATTAGATAGTGAATTTACGTAATATTGTAACATGTTGTAGCTTCCGTCAGTGGTGTACTTCTCCTTCAAGGCAATCACCAGGCCCGAGAGTGTTTGTGAAGCAATACTCGATAACCTTAACAATTACCCTAGCTACACGGTTGACAAATCCTATTTTTTCTACCGAGGGTACAGTAACTGTTTGCAGTAAAAAAAAAAAAATTTCCGAGGAAATAAAAATTTTCTCTTATCAAAGTTACTCTCGTAGAATAAATAATTACTGTGTCTATAAACTGTGTACACATAGTTTTCGATAACTATCTGGAATTTCAAGGGGGACTAAGTACTTAAATTTCACTAAATTTTTCTTTAATCTATATTATAGTCGTACTTCTAATATTATTATCTTTTTGGTATCCTCTTACCCATTTTTTAACATTTCAAAAAATGTACTATCCATATGAACAAATATAGATAACTGCGTGGGTTTCACTAAATTGACCTCTTGAAGTTCACAAATTTTCCTGTAGTCAAAATATCTTTCCACATAGGGATAACCAACTTCTGGCAAAGTATGGTATGCAAATCCTCCTTCTGACACCAAGTTCATACCATTTTCAGGGGGTACAAATTTTTGAGACTCTGGAATCTTAGACCAATGGTTGATGTAGAATGATTTAATTTCCGAATCATCACTCTGAAATCCAATTAGCTCTTTCAGCCGATTATTTAAAATCTTAGACAACCGTATAAATGTTAATTATGTCTGTTAAATCATGAAAAAAAGGTTTTTCTTTGAAAAATAGTTTTTATGAATTAAAAATTGTATTATTCTATTAGAACTTTAAAACTTCAAAAGATGTGAAATCCATCTCTAATCTTGGAAGTCAATAATGACTCTAGATACAATATTACGTTTGGCTGTTGACTAAAATAAATACATTTTGTTGTTTTGTTCATAAACCCTTACTTAAAACTTTTTTTTAGTACACATTATTTTTTGTAAGATACATAGGGTTACGTGAGCTGTAAGTTTGTTGCTATTTTTATATCTATATTTTTTCATTGACACAAGTATTACAAACTAATTAGACATGAATAAATTCGTGATAATGGATAAGTTAAAAAAAAAAAAAATTAATATGACTCAGTTGTTGACTCTCAAATAATAGATACGAAAACCGTAAATTAAATGACATAGGTGTAATTATAAATAAAGGCAGCTTGATAAATACAAAAATACACAGACATAGAGCTTCTTTTATGTATAATCTCGAAATCAGGATTCATGAAAGATTGTTCGATTCAGAGACATCAACAGAAAAAAGGCAGTTTAAAATGAAGAGTGAAATGTACAGTAATGTAAAAGTGAAAAAGAGTCAAACATGCTGAAATTTATTGAAAACAGTAATGATGAAAACCTCAGTACAGAACGAACATTGCAAATACAGTGACTAGTCATAAAAAAAAAGAATAATTACACACAAAACTAAAGATTATACATTAACGAAGTAATCAAGTTTCATAATAAGGATATAGGAATAAAGTTACAAAAGAGAGTCATGAATGAGATAGTCAAAATGTTTTTAAGTTAATGAAAAATTTTTTTCTATTCGCTTATGCTGCAAAATAATTTTTTTAAATTTTAATATATAAATTACATATTTACAATGATACTAACTTTTATGTAATGGTCGAATCCAATTATTGATTCTGAAGCATACTGGAAATCTTTTTTTCCCAATTCATATAAAGAATCATTTATAGGCACAATGGGTTCACTCAAACGATTAGAAACAGCACTAGCGAGATAATAGTTATAAAGGAGTAAGTTAGAAATTAATATATGAAGAATCGCTATTCTTCCAGATAGACTATCCGATGAAAACTCAGTACCTAAAAATATTTTTGTTGATCTGTTGGTCTAATTTATGTAATAATGCAGTATTATGCAAGCTCTTAAAATCATAAAATTAAGCAAAACTTTTTAAGTAATATATATTATATACGTACTTTGCTGACAGAAGGCACCAATGTGAATTATGACTGAACGTAAGTAGGTCTCATAAAAGTCATCAGATGAAAAAAGTAGTAAGAAAGCAAGAGCATTTATTGATAACAAGCTGATCCCCACTGTTAAATACCAAACATTTGTTGAAAGTGGGAGAAATATGTCTCGAACGCTTACTTGATCTGACGACGTACTCCGAAAAATAAAACATGTTCTGCATTTAAAAATCAATGTTTATATCAAAAGTATCGTCAAAATTTGGTATAAGCTTTAATATAAAACATAAAATTTTAGAAGGTTCTTGTGAAACTCATAAAAACAAAAATTTATAAGGTGAAAAAAAGTTGAATATTCAAGTGAGTATAATAAACAACAATAACTTTTAAAAAAAATCGTAGAAATACAATACATCTTTGATTCATTCATAAGTTCTATCACTGTTGTAATACCTGAAAGGTAAATACGAATATATTGCCTTGAGTATGCCAATTTGTTCATATTTAATTGTATTGGCTGTCCCACTTGCATCTATATCACCTTTTAGTAAAGCTTTTATAACTGGACCATTAATATCACTTTTATTCCATGTGCTACTTTCAAAAAAATCCAACCTGTAGAAAGTTTGTTTGTATTATCTTATTAAACTATTTGGATTATGTTTATAAATATTTTTAATACATAAAATATGGGTGATGGACGATAGCTAGACATATCAGTACACTCGATGAAGATTACATTATGAAACAATTCTATGTTTTATTTTTGCTATTACAGTTTTATACTTGAAAAAAATAATGAGTGGTAAATACGAAAGCAAGTATATATATATATACACACATATCTACATATAGTATAAGTAAATAAAACCCGTAAAAAAAATGTTTCCCAATAAATCACCAAAACTTTCTTTCTCGTAAAGTTATTAAAAAAGTACACAGGAGTAGAGGACAGTTTTAGAAAGCATTAAGTCTTGCATATGGAGTATGACCAACCTGCGGATTTTCAGGGCGAAAACTTTAATTTTAATTGTAAGATTTTGTTTTTGGATAATTTTTATAGCTCAATATCATACAAAAACAAGTTCTGGAGAAATATTTAATCAGCACATTATAAATAATAAAGTTATGTGTTACAAAACGATTTTTAGTCGTTTTACAATGATTTTTGTTATATTTTATGTTAAGGCAACACTATGGCATAAATGCCAACCACAAATAATTATACTTTAATAAGATGTACAAAATTGGAAATAATTATTTTGTCCCAAATGACGTGTGAAAAAGTTGTTTTTTTACCTATTTCATAATTATTTCTTTGTTTTAAATATTAGGAAAACATATAGACCAAAATGGGGGTAGCACAGAAAGTCTATTTTACGATTACGGAAGATAGCTACCATGGGGTACATTTGAGTATTCTAATTAAAAAAATTTGTTATAAAATCTAATCTTAATGTTAGCAATTTGTAGTAGTAAAACTTAATAGTCATGTTTTCCGGCGTTTAAAAAATAATGCCTGCAGAATGGAAAATTGAGCAAAAACACTTGTTATATGACATTGATATTTATATTACTAAACCAAAATAGTTCACCTGGTTGTTAATAATAGAGTAAAACTATATATGTACATATCTGTTAAAGAAGTCATAAAAGAATGAAAATTTTTTATCCATTTTACTATTGCATGGCTCTCTAAGTTAAAAAAAAAACTGACATTCTACAATAAAGTGTTAAAAACGAAAATAGAACTGTGGAGTAAAAAAATATGTTTTAAAGTAATAAACTTGTTAAACACTACCCAGTTCATCCCTTTTTAATTCAGAACTTTCGATTTATTTATTTTCAAAGGAAGCTTTCAAACAAAAAAGATTGATTCCACAGATATTAAAACTTTATTTTCTTTATTTTAATTATAGTGCAAAGGTATAGCCCAAAATCTAATTTTAATTCTTATAAAAAGATGACACATTTACAGGTACAGTTTGTTTCATGCATGACATATTAGCAATAATCTAAAAAAAGTGCTTACGTAAAATTAAACATTTCACTTAAATGTTTCCACATTATGTATCCAAGTCTTGTTATTCGGTCAAATTGTCTGAAATTGTAATCATGTAAATATTCTTTTATTGACATTTCAACGGGTTTATTGGCTGTCTAAAATTACAAGACGAAAAAATTAATATCATCTGTCAACATGAATTAAATTTTATTAACTTACAAATACTCCAATTTTAAGACGTATTCCTTGAAGATTCCACCTTTCGACTTTATTTATTTCTACATTATTTAAGTCATTACTTTTATTCCATACACCTAAGTGTGACGTAATCAATAAGCCACCTTTAGATTTGCTTGGATTATAAGTATTATATAGTAAAAATTTATCTTCTTCGAAAATGGCTATAACAAAATCAGTTGAAAGACCAAAAGATTCATCATTAATTAGAGATAGGCTCTCGTTTAAGTTGGATCCTAATACTAGCCAATAGTACAACTCATTAAACAATTTGCATTCTGATGCCTGCAAATATAAATTTTATTTGTAAATTGTACTGCAATAGTAAAATACTAGAAGTTTAGAATAACATGAATAAAAAACTTAACGTAAGTCTCTAGCTACTTGTCTTCTGATTTACTACAAATTTTTTGTAAAGTATACTTTTGTAAGTCAATTAAGGTGATTTGAGTTAATGAATAATTAGCCTTTTCTTGCCAAAGGCTCAAAGTGCAACTTCTACTTTTCGCCGTCGGGCTGCACTTTGCGCCCACGGGCACAAATGGTAGTTTTCCTACGAGTTTGAAAAGTCTCTGTTTGCTAACCGAGAGGTTTGCGGCCCGAGCCGAAGGCGAGGTCCGTAACGAGGTTCGTAAAGGAGACTTTTCGANCTGGTTCACATTTTCAAACAAAAAAGATTGATTCCACAGATATTAAAACTTTATTTTCTTTATTTTAATTATAGTGCAAAGGTATAGCCCAAAATCTAATTTTAATTCTTATAAAAAGATGACACATTTACAGGTACAGTTTGTTTCATGCATGACATATTAGCAATAATCTAAAAAAAGTGCTTACGTAAAATTAAACATTTCACTTAAATGTTTCCACATTATGTATCCAAGTCTTGTTATTCGGTCAAATTGTCTGAAATTGTAATCATGTAAATATTCTTTTATTGACATTTCAACGGGTTTATTGGCTGTCTAAAATTACAAGACGAAAAAATTAATATCATCTGTCAACATGAATTAAATTTTATTAACTTACAAATACTCCAATTTTAAGACGTATTCCTTGAAGATTCCACCTTTCGACTTTATTTATTTCTACATTATTTAAGTCATTACTTTTATTCCATACACCTAAGTGTGACGTAATCAATAAGCCACCTTTAGATTTGCTTGGATTATAAGTATTATATAGTAAAAATTTATCTTCTTCGAAAATGGCTATAACAAAATCAGTTGAAAGACCAAAAGATTCATCATTAATTAGAGATAGGCTCTCGTTTAAGTTGGATCCTAATACTAGCCAATAGTACAACTCATTAAACAATTTGCATTCTGATGCCTGCAAATATAAATTTTATTTGTAAATTGTACTGCAATAGTAAAATACTAGAAGTTTAGAATAACATGAATAAAAAACTTAACGTAAGTCTCTAGCTACTTGTCTTCTGATTTACTACAAATTTTTTGTAAAGTATACTTTTGTAAGTCAATTAAGGTGATTTGAGTTAATGAATAATTAGCCTTTTCTTGCCAAAGGCTCAAAGTGCAACTTCTACTTTTCGCCGTCGGGCTGCACTTTGCGCCCACGGGCACAAATGGTAGTTTTCCTACGAGTTTGAAAAGTCTCTGTTTGCTAACCGAGAGGTTTGCGGCCCGAGCCGAAGGCGAGGTCCGTAACGAGGTTCGTAAAGGAGACTTTTCGAACGAGTATCGAAAAACTGCTTTTTCCGCCCTCAGGTGGTTTTGGGAGGCTGGTACATCCTCGGGCAAAAAAGCAGTTTTCCGATACTCGTTCGAAAAGTCTCCTTTACGAACCTCGTTACGAACCTCGCCTTCGGCTCGGGCCGCAAACCTCTCGGTTCGCAAACAAAGACTTTTCAAACTCGTAGGAAAACTACTATTTTACCCGAGGAAGTACCAGCCTCCCAAAACCACCCGAGGGCGGAAATGGTAGTTTTCGTACCTGATGGTGCATATTGCTGGGGCAAGCACCATGGTATATGGTTTTTTTCCCGTGAGCGCAAAGTGCAATTTTGCTCCAGTAGGCATACTTCGTGTCCGATAAATCACTTTGAGCCCCAGGGCAGAAAAGTACTTATATATGAGCAAAGAAACCGAGTTTTTATCTTGGAGGAATATTGCACTTTCGTACCAGAAATCAAAGAAGTCACGTCGTCTCTAGGTGGGGCTAGTTTAGTAAATAGTACATTACGCACCTAGTGAGCGAGGTGGTTAACGTCAAATCTAATGCATTTCTTAACCTTCGAACCTGGTGCGTATTCTGTTTTTCATCAAGCCTGCGCCGAGAGAAGGAATTTTCGTCCCGCTTCGTGCAGTATGATGAAATGGTAGTTTTCCTACGAGTTTGAAAAGTCTCTGTTTGCGAACCGAGAGGTTTGCGGCCTGAGCCGAAGGCGAGGGACGTAACGAGGTTCGTAAAGGAGACTTTTCGAACGAGTTCCGGAAAACTGCTTCTTCGCCCGAAGAAGTACTAGCCTCCCAAAACCACTCGAGGGCGGAAAAAATCTTTTTTGCCCATGGGCCCAACGCGATTATAAGAGCGCAAAGCCTGGCCCAAGGTTGCAAAGCGGCAGTTTCACTTTTTGTACAAGGTAAGAAAAAGTAGTTTATGTGACAAAAACACCATAATCGCTCGTTAAAACTTTTGTTAATACTTAAGACAAACATAGTAAGAATTTGTGGTGGGCACGAAGTAAATTAAAATAAAGGAGCATACAAAGACTTTAAGTAAAATAATTATTAAAACATTTGTTCCGGATAAATCGAGCTTATATTTTTAAAGTGAAATATGTGAAAGTTTGTGTATATTCTAAAATCGACCCAGATCGCGACGGCAGAGATGCGCTTTTCGAGCGGTGAAGGTCTAATAGTGCTAGCGAGACGAAGCTTTAGTGAGGGAGGCTGAGATTTCCTTGGTGAGAAGCCGTATTTAGTTCCGGATAAATCGAGCTTATATTTTTAAAGTGAGAAATGTATAAGTTTGTTAGTCATGTATGTGTAGTAAAGTAAGAATAATGTGTTCGAATGTAAATTACGATCGTTGTCATGTTCAAAAGATGTTGAATTTGAAAAAAAAGACGTTCAGTTTTGTCACCAACTTCAATGGCTTAGAGTCTTATTTTGTATGGCAGCAATAAATATCCTTAAAATTCGATAAGTTTTCAAAGAAGTTTCTTTCTTTGCGTGAAGCTGATTTTGTCAGCCACAATATTATTAATTTAACTTGGACGTTCAGCATCAAATAACAATGTCTTATTCGTAATGATAAAAAAAGTATTTCACTGGTACATAGAATAGCTATGTAAAAAAATTTGTATTTCTCACCTGTATTCAAGTTTCAATTAATAATTATGGTGGTGGTAATTAATAATTAAAATTTAGTAAATAACCAATGTGGTAGTTAATGATAAAATTTTTTAATTTTTAACTACCATGATGGTAATTGATAATTCAAAACTATTTACTCGTATTAACATTTATGCAACCCTAAAATTGACCCACTAAACTATATTGGAGGATCCAACAAAAACTTTTTGGTTTCCCTCACAGTGTCCAAGGTTACCAACTCTATACCAATACGCATGAAAAAATTAATTTCATTATATTTTAATAAATTTTATACTGTTTGTAGTAAGTAATAATCATTTGAGTTATTAAAGTCACGTAGTATTAACAACCAGAGTTTGAAGTATACTCCAATTTAACATTTTCATTTGTGTGGGGCTGGAATTATAGAACTACAGTTGTATTTAGAACGAGATTCAGTTTTTTGAAAACATCTGTATATGTTTTTAAGTTTCTTTTATTTTTTACAGAAAAATTTTATCAAAAAATGTATGTCAGGTGGGGTCCGAAATAACGACAGTTCACTTCAATTTTGCAGTAAAACTATGAATGTTCATTTCAGCGACGTGTATTCCGACTACAATGACAGCTCAGTGCAGCGACTGTTCATTATTTCGACAGCCAATCACAAGGCAGTTTACTTTGATTTTCTTCTCATACTGCTTCGTGATTGGCTGTCGAAATACTGAACAGTCGCTGCACTAAGCTGTCGTTGTCATCGCAATATACGTCACTGAAATGAACATTCATAGTTTTACTGCAAAATTGAAGTGAATTGTCGTTATTTCGGACCCCACCCTGTATGTCACAAATAAAATTTTGTAAATAGTTGTAAGTTATTGCAAGTATCATTTTTGCTCGTTAAAACGTAAAAACTATTGCAAAATTTGTATCTGTTATTATCGTGGAATATTTTTAAGGGTTATACACTTAAACGGAAAGTTGTCAACTTGGCATCAATATATTTTTTCTTTAGTTATTCGATTATTTGCTTACCTCATTAAAAATGGATCTACTTCTTTCAGGAGATTGGCATCTTAAATCAATAAAAATACCAACTTTGTAATACTTTATCTTACTTAATAGTATTGCTGATTCCGTATTGTCATCAAATTTCAGGATACTAGAAGATACTTGAATGTTGTTAAACTCACGAATTAACTTAATATCATCTTCGTAATGAATATAAATTTATGGATAAAATTATGAGTTTTGTTAAACAATATAATATCTACATAATACCATAATCCATCTTACTTTCATGTGTATTGCACGTAAATCCTATAACAGTAGATGGTGCTCGGTGAAGAAAATACTCTACTATAAAGTTATTGTTTGGATTCTGTTCACAAAAATCAGCAGCGAATTCAAGAAAAACAACAATAATCCATTTGTAATATCGAAATATATTTAACATGCTTGCAAACGTTTGATAGCAAACTTTTTTTGAATAGCATGATTTTATTTTATCTGGTACTTCAAGCTTTGGCAGAATCAATAATGGCTCATTACATTTTCAAGTCTCTCATCTAGTATTGATCGAGAGTCTTTAGTATGTCGATCATTTACGTCGTTTGTCTGTCACATAAAAATTACATAAGCACGTAAATATTGTATAAGTTCTTTTGCCAAGGCAGCAACTTAAATTTGTTTTAAAAATATATGAGAACAGAATGAGACTTCAGTAAATTTTTTTTTCCTTAAAAAATATAACTATTCTGTTTTTTCACTCCAACTGAAAAAAGACCATTTAAATAATGATGACGTAAGCTTTCTCATGTAAATAAATTAGATCGTTAGAAGAACTTTATCGATGTACCTCATGAAAATTGCATTCTTTAAGTACATACTGTAGGAGATGAAAAATCTCCAGATTATTTAATAAAACTAATAAATTTTAGTTAATGGAATTCGCGTAGCTTCTGAACATATTTAAGAATAACGTGTGAGGTGCTGTTCTATTATAGGATAGCTATAAAACGCATATCAGTTCCACTGGCTGTACGTGTCAATAAAAAAATATGAATTCTTTGTGTAGCTAAAACTGTCTACATTATATGTTATAGTAATATTCATGTATTCTAAAAGTATGAAAGTCAATGAAACGCACTTAAATAGTGATAATTTTCGACTTTAATTCACATTACGAATATAAATAAGAATGATAAAAGCGTGACTATTGATTTTGGGAGTATGAGAACATTAGCTAAATGTCATAGGGGATCTTTAAAACTCTGTATTATGGAAAGTTGTACTCGCGTAAAAGCATCCACTCAGACTATCATAGAAAATTCGAATGTGTTTAACAAGCTTTTATTCAAACATTCGAGACTAAACTCTGACGAAAAAATTACTGCAAATACTTCAAGACAAATAGTGTTTAGTTGTATAATTCAAATAATCTGAGACCACATTATTTTAACTAACTGTTAGCCTTCAAGAAAAACAAGAAAATTGCGCTTATGTAAATTGAATTATTTTTAAAATTCTTAAAAATGAAAATTTTTATTACTAATCAGTAAAGTTTGACATTTTAAAGTCTATGCCAGGTTTTGAGATGGGTCCAGGTATATACTAAAAAGATCTACACAAAGGCGCTTACACAAAAATGACTGTACAGTAGATGTATAGCACAATACAGAAATTATTGATGCGTAATTTTGCCAGTATGTAGAGTCATTAATACCGTTTACACACGTGTAGAATCAAGGTTGCGTCCAATAAAGTTGTACACGCGTAACGTGTCGTAAGCCGTCATAGTTAAACACAGAAAAAAAAAGTTTATTCATTTGTTTGCTACAGTGTAGAGGCACGCATATTCCCGACACATGTGTACAATATTTTTTATAAAAAAAAATTTTGCGAAGATAAGTTTTGCAAAATTATTTGTGCAAAGTCTTCATAAACACAATACAAATACGATTACAAAGTGGTTTACGCAAGTGTAAAGTATTTTTGACAAGTGTTGATTTTATATTGTGCTAAGTCAGTTTGTGTACAGCAATTAATGCAAGTGTAGACTTTGCTTTGTGTACAGTGTTAGACATGTGCACAACAAATAACCCAATAACCAAACGACTCAAGCAAGAGTTGTATGTTTTCAAACCTATTTAAGTAGGTAACAACGTAATTATCCGAAAGCATTAAAAAGAATCGTTTTTCTTTAAAAAATTTTTTTTCCAATTGTTCAAATAAGCGCGCGTTAGGACTAGGACTTTTGTGGCGACTCTCACACACACATGTACACTACTGCTCTCCGTCCTTCTCCAACCATCCGCTAGGTGTCTAACCATCCAAGTTAACCTTCTCGCAAGTGCCCGGATCTCATGTTGGTTAATATATAAGGGCATTTAAGATGAGCTAGGGTATCCCCACCGATATAGGTGTCTAAGGCAGGGAGCACGTAATCAGCCTTACTAATGAGTCCTGGCGTGCTCCTGGGACGTAACATCTAACAATCTTTTCTTTCTTATCATCACAGATCGCCATACTTTACTGGCCTTAACGCCATCTTTGATTAGTTAAGAGGAAGCATTATGCATTGTTGCCATTTAGTATCTAGAAAGACTCATTTTCATTCTGTTGTACAAGTATGTTTTTTTGTAATTT